AAGATTCGAAAATTTAGCAATGATATCTCTGTTATTTTGCTCAGCATAGGCTTCAATTTATTGTCAGTACTTATTGTAATATAGTCTTATCTATTCATGATTTATTAGATCAACAGTACGTTCATTGATGTTTGCTTTTACTACTCAGAGAGAATATCTTCACTTGGTTTATTAACCGTCAATATCACCAATATTTTTAACAACTCAATCGTTAATAAACACATGTCTCAACAAACGCCTTCTAATAATATTTTTCTTGAAAAGTGTCATATTAACTCAACTGTTAACAACGAAGAAAAGAGATAAATTTGTGTAATAATAGTGCATTGTATCCAATGATATGGCGCATATGGTTGTCGCAATTGAAGTTTGATACGTTAAGCAGAAACCATAATAGCTCAACTTAGTACACCGCTATTAAAAAACTGAGCAATACGCTTTATTTATTAGCACTTTCTCTATGAAATATAGTTGTTAGCTTTTAAAAATGTTGACCTTAAGATCAGCTATCAACTTTCAAAGATTTTCAGAGATTTTGAACAGGTTATATGTGGCGTGCACCATACTTTAATGCATTTGATTTTTCAAAAATAAGCTTCAAGACACTTGAAAGCTTGGCCTCAGGTTCCAAGATGTTTGCATGTATATGCTTACATGGCTTTTATTTTTGGGCTAAACAAATGTTATCATTGTAGAAATGTGATCATTACTGATGGTTATGCTGTATCCTTTATATTTAAGAAAACTGTCGCAATCCATGATGAACCTAGAAGAGAACCAGAGACGCCCAAGGATTTTGCTGATATAGTTGACCATGCAGAATTTGGGCTGCTGATCCTGGTATATTAACTATCTTTACTGCAGTTGACTCTACAAAACATGAACGTATCCGAACAACAAACTTGGAAGAATACTATCATTTGTGTGGTTACAATCTTGCTCCAAAAAGACGAAAAGAACACCAAGAGTGTCATTTAGACGAATTTAAGTATATTAGTGAATTACCTACTTTAAACACTGAAAACTTTGACCTCACTTTTACTAGCTGCCTCTACACGTCTACAAAACTATCAAAGAATCCATAACTACTATTGTCCAGAAAAAATGATATGTCGCTCTTTTACATGGTGTACATTTTAATAACGTTGCGTATGGTATAGGTCTCAAAAGCTAAAGTTCAAAACGTATATCAACAAGCAAAAAGGAACTCCAGAAATTGTTAAAAAAAAACTCTTTGACAACAGCAAAAAGTATGGCATATCAAGCACAGTTGGCGCTAAAAATCAAAACCCAAACAAAAGCAAACATGTACCTTTACCTCCTGCTGACCTCCCTTCTTCCTCTCAATGAAGCGGATCATTGCGTTCGAAAATGGCTCTTTTTGTTCAAGCATGAAAGGAAAATGAGCTGCACCTACTAGACGTATTACAGAAGAAATCAAACGAAAATACAAACAATCTAACAGGGGGGGACCGAACTTGTCTCGGTTGACGAGTACTTAACAAGTCAGATCTGTAACAAGTGCAAACCCAAACAGTTAAATAATATCCCAATTACTGGATCAAAGCGAAGAGTACACTCTGTCCTCAAGTGTGAATCTCGTGGTACGGTTTGGAATCGCGATATGAACAGTGCATTAAATATATATGGCATCTTTGTTTACAAATCAAAACATGACAATGAAAGCACTCCTCCTTTCAAAAGACTAACTGTGCTCCCTGGATTTGATACGTTGTCTATAACAGCAGTGCATTCCTTAACGCCTCGATAAGTATAAAGCGAATAATGAATTATTTTTTATTCATTAGTCTTTTAGTTATGGTTACTATTATTATTATTATTATTATTATTAGTACTAAATAGTGATTATACAAAGAGCTGATAAGCATATTCATAAGCTGTCTTGATAAGAATGACAAGAACCAAGACTAAAGGCAAATAGAATATAAAATAAAGCCAATAACCAAAGCATTCTCTGATTGTATGTCGTAACTTGAGAGGCACTTTCACTGTGCGATCTCTTCTATACAACAATTCGTCTTCGTCTTCAATAACTGGTTCTTCTGGAAATTTGCCTGTTTCATTATAATATACAAGTCTCTTATCCTTCTCTGCCCATCGTTCAAACAGCCACGGTGTGAAACGCTCTGGGTCTGATGGTAAAGAATCAATGCGGTATCGACGTATGTGAATATGGATTTTATGTGGACCCTTTCGATCACAGAATATATGTTTCATGGTTAACGCATCTTCTGGATTCTCTCCCACTGGTATTCCTGGGTATCCTATCGTAAGATCATACAACCATTCGACGTTGTCTCCTAATGTGTCTTTACATAGCAACAGTCCAGTTGTCCTTGGTAACAAAGTGAATTTATAATCTTCCTTTTAAGAAAAATAATAATAATAATAAATATCTCGCGGTCTGTGCCTAATACTCTTCTTTTTCTTCTGCTTACCATGTTGAATTTCTGCGCGTACGCCTTTGATCTGGCACGAGTATCATCCGAGATAACTAAATAAGGAAATAAGTCTTCTCTTTTTCATTGTTCATATTGAACAGCCGTCCAGATACCTGTTCCTTCCGGAAATAACACTAGCCACATTGGCCTATTCCTCTTTCTTGCTCTTTCTAGGTTAGTTATGACTGTGTCCTTGTCAGATTCTAACTTTCTTTTCAGAAAAATAAATTCAAAAAACTTCATTCCCTAAAATATAGATATAGTTAAGTCGTCGAAAGTGTCGGCGTCGGAAAAATATTTACCCTAAATAGTAAAAAGAGAAAGGTGTCATTTTGGATACATAGAGTAAAGATGAATAACCATCATACTTACGTTCCGTATATAGGTATTAGACTCAGACTGTGCTTAAGCATGATCTTTAATGAACCATGAGCTTTGGATAGATAAGCCAAGAACCAAATATAAATCCAGTCGACCAATATCTATTGTATGTACACGCATAGAGAAAAAAAAGAATATGGCTCAGCAATAGATTTTTTTATATGCAGATTGCTATGTCTACCTGATGATTAGCCATCATAATGAGTTTCTCAGGAAAAGAGATGCCTATGACCTCTCCTTGTTTATTGCGAGTCAAGAGTCTTTCTAACCTTTCCTCTTCATCGTCATCTTCCTCATCAAGCTCACTTCCCTCTCGAGTACAGCTTTCATCCAATGTGATAATTAAGTCTCCGGGTGCAAATAACCGCATCATCAGAAATAAGTTATTCGCCCATTGCCGCATGATATGTGCCTGGAATTTATAATAAAGACGTCTTGATACAGGCCAAATAAAAAGTGATAAAAACTGCACTCCAGTTATAAGTGTAGATTGGCACCATAGACCAAGGCCAAATCCAAATCCATTCAATATGCCTAGTATTCCCATTTTATTAAATAGAAAGAAAAAGAGAGAGAGAAGAGAAAAAAAAAAGATGGTGCGGAAAACCATCGCCTGCCACTTTTGTGTGTATGTGTGTGTGTAATTCTGTCTTTCAACTGTTGTGACTGTAAGTATTACTTGATATATGTGGCTGAGTGCTTTAAAAAAGGTTCCCTTTTTTCACTTCAAATTGCATAAATGGTAAAGAAATAGATCTTTACAAACTCTTCGTTAAACAACATTTGTAGGGAAATAAAAGACTGACGTTAAGAACAATTAAAAACAGAGATGCCATTCATCCATATTCAAGAAAGGCTCAACAGTTAACAAGAGTATATCAGCGTAAAGAAAAGATGGCTAGAAAAGAACAGCAAAAGTCAGTAAACCCAATTGGTATGTCACTGAATATTACCTGTATATATAAAAACTAATATCAAAAAGGGGATCGATGGCTCTGGTTTAGATATGCATTTGATGAAGAAAAAAAGGCAGCAACTATGAAAGATATGCATGAGCTGATAAAACTCTATTTAGCTCGTAATGACGATGAAATCAATACATTAGAAAAGGAAAGAGCAAGAGGGCACAAGAAACCAAAGTCACCACGACAGCACTTTTTAGAAGCATTAAAAGAAAGAGAAGCAAACGAATATGTGTCGGGATTAGGTTAGTTATAGAAAGAATTCATTATTCTGAATAACTTATGTATAAAAGAATTACCTGATATGACAAACGGAAAGACATTGGAGCTGTTGAGAGAATGGGATGGTGATAAAAATAGTATGTCCCGTATAAAGACAATAAGAGTACGAAAACCTTTATCTGAAGAATCAAAAGCAGTAATCCCAGCAACCAAGGAGAAGTCAGATAAAATCAATGATTTGATGGATACAGAATAGAATTTAATAAATGTTGCATGAATATTTTGGATCATCCTTGTCACATCTTCTCATTGTCTATTACTACTTACGGGAGTGTGTTTATCCACAAGGTTAAACTCTGTGAAGGAATTACCATAAACAGCCTCAACACCTGTATTCACGGAAATGTTATGCATAGATGCTTAATCTTTTGAACCTTATTTGTAAAAGAAAAGTCTGTAGGTCTAGAAATGAGAATCCAAAAGACGCATAGTACTTCTATCAGCAAATAATATAGCAACTCATCTGCTTCATTGATTGCTTGACAGTAGAAACTATATAAGCCCATAATGTCAAAGGCGTATCAAAATAGCCACCTTTATACTTTATAATCATCGAATACTCATGTAAAAGGAGAGCTGTAATAAACATTCTTATTCCAGATATATCAATGTCAAATGACTTGCAGTTAAAACACTGTTAGCCGAGCAACCACAAAATTCAATAATTGCATACTCAGACTTAGCAGCAACGAGCTCATTTCAATATTAATTGGATTTACATTTACCAGATTGCACAGATTCTAAGAAGAAACCCAATGCTATACAAGTATGTAACAATGCCAAGAGATTACTACCATAAGCTGCCCCACATAGAATGCTTACAAAGGCATGGAAAGTGTCTATTCTCAGCGATCGATGTTTGTGTAAATTCTAAGCCTTCTTAAGATAGCATCCCTATATGGCACAAATACGCAAAGCTCGACAAACAAGGGCCACCCAACAAATATAGGCTGTATACCAGGTGCTTCTGCATAACGAGATACCGTTTTGTTTGCCAATTAAATCAATTATTGACAGTAATGATAAAAGCTTCTAGAAGGATATGATATTCTTATCGGTTGGAAATAACTGGTAAAAAGCATTATTCACCATGACTAGGTCATTCTCTGTTGGGGTAAAGGTGACCTCAAACTTCCCTTTTCGGAAAAGAAGAGTAAAGAAGAACAGCGGTCTAGAGAGTTATCTAACATTACTGAAATGGACAAGTCATTGAATAAGACTTTGATCATGCAGACTTGTACTAGGTGTAAATGTGATGACGCGGCCGATCCAAATCTTAGAGATAGAGTAAAAATGATCGGCCATTGGTACATTCATGGCATACTTATAACATTTACTTTTTGGATACTCCATATGCCAAATATACATATCTCCGTCTCATGCACCACCTGAAATAAAGTTTTTACATTGAGGCTGCAGTTGAAGACACAAACATAAGCTACATATATTTTTGGTAATTTTGCCCAAGAATTACTCATCCGCTCTTGGCACACGCGCGCCTGTTACGGGGCCCGTTCATTGTTCGCAGAGTATAATCGTGCTACAGATTAATGCTATCTATAATCACTAAACCAGGCCTTTGCTTTAGGGCGTAAAATAACAGCAATCTTTTGTTTGTTGAGTAACAAACATTATGTCAACTTTGGTGTTAGTATAGGAGCCAACATTTATGGATTCACCGGAAAATATGTGTAACATTTCTATTTTGCCAATGCTGAAGACTACCTTCCCCCTTTTCTACTCCTTCCTCACTCTTTCATCTATTCATCTTACTATTCTCAAGGGGGTGTAATACTCCTTTGGAATTATACAAAAAAAAAGGAAAAAAAGATTATACATTTAAGGTAGTACCGACCTTATTATTTTGATAGAAAACGTGTTCTACCGAGAAAGTTATGGCCAAAGCGACTTGTGGAGACAAAGAGTATACTCATTCTAAGGAGAATAACAAATACTCCGAATGGCACTCACTTTTTGACACTACTTTTATTGTATGCGGGGGCTTACTGTTTAATGCATTCGCTGATATCCATTAAAAATAAAAGTACAGAAGCTTTAGGGCATGAGTCATGAATACCAGCATTTCCTGACTGCTCTGTGAGAAAAGGACAAGATCGCACAAGCAGTGAAAAAAGAACAACGATCTAGGCTATACGTGTACGTGCACTCTATACTTTTATCTTTAACTGTTAAGATTTGAGGGGAAGTACTAAGGGAGGAGTTTTCTATTGTAAATTAGCCATTTTTTTTTTATGATTAAATATTTATTCAGCTTTACTGCGAATGCATCAATATCTGTTTGTGGAATAAGAACATTGGAGTATATTTGTTTGTTACCTTACCAAAAGCACGTCAGTAGTATAGTTGTCCATCCTTTTGGCCGGAGTATTACAATCAGATACCGGGCTCATCAAGGTTTCAACAACTGCTTTATATAGAAAATACGATGTACTCAGCGCCTCCCTCCTGGGACCATGTCCAGAATTTTATATGTGTGTGTGTGTCGTGCACATTTCAATTTTGTAACCCAAAGATCAGCCCCTCCCCCTAATTCTACAATGCTTGATTAAGGAATACTTGAACCTAAAATTAATTATAAATACGCAGGATGCCTTCTTCTTTTCTTTTTTTTCTACTTTTCCGTCAAACGATTATAGCTCGAGTATATAATCGATATAAATATTTATATACACTTATCCATACAGACAAATATACATATTAATACCAATATACCCCATGGATTATAACTCATCTATCTGCATCGCACATCTTGAAGATGACTTTTATAATGACAGATTCTCTTCACGAACCACCAGTAGCAATTACAGCAGTGCTCCTTTGACAAAAGAAAATCTTTTAAAATTTAACAAAGAAGCAAAATCAACGCAAAATGAGATACTGTCAAGGTACTGTCGAGAAGCTTCTATATCCTCCTCTGTTCGCGAAAGATGTCAGTCAACCCCAACATCAAGCCATCCAGACATTGTTCTTGCATCACCTCGGCTACTGCCCTTTCCGTATCACAATGACTCGCACTTTCTCCCGACGGCCGAAAGACTTCAATACAACCTGGCAAATAGTTATTCTCTAAGCTCATCCTCTTCTTCTTATCGAGCCGAAACATCTAGTATACCCTCTACCATTCGAAACATATCCCGTCCACAATCGAGAAGTAACCTCAAGAATTGCTGTCACCTCAGCAGTAGTATTGCCTCCACACACACAAGAAAGCCTTCATCAGCACCGTACTTATACAGTAGTAGTAGCATCAGACGACATAGTTCAATAGTAAAAGACGATGCTAGCTCGTCGAATTATCGATCTCTCTCAGCTACCTGCTCCATAGCAACAAGCCCTATTCATAAAGAATCCTACAGTGACCGCAAGCAAATTCCTTGGATAAAACGGCTTTTGAAGTTTCTAAACAAAAACAAGCTCAAGCCTCATAGAAACCGCGAAGACCTTGAAAGATGTAAAAACAAATCCAACCAAGTTTGGTTTTGTAAATTTGCTGTCAACCCCAACATTGCTGCTGAAAATCGACAACAAATATTGGCCACTATGTGAGATAACAATGACCATTATACTGTCTCTTCCGCTCGTTTCTGTTTCCATTACACCATCCTACTTATGCTCTAATCACATACCCCACAGCCCTCACCTGTCTTTTTCACAAGCAATGAGAAAGGGGGAGCTGTAATTTACTTCACAACATTCTCACATGTTTGATTTATGAACTCTATAATTTCTTTCTTTCCCTCTCCTTTCCATTCTCTTGATTTCAAATGCACATATCATAGTTAATTCATTTTTAATAATTCCGCCCTTTGTATAATAAACTCCTTCACTGTTAATACTCTGCGATGAATAAACATTGCCATTAGCCATTGTTGCTTTTATCATAAAAAAAGACGTTGAAAGTGTTTAATGTCATTTTGTAAATGCATCAGAATGACGTACCTAATATATGTTGCAAACAAACTTATATGCGGCTTTCATGAGAAGTAAAGCACATTCAACAAAATAGAGTAGAAAGACTGCTCTAAAAGTACAGTAGGTGTTTTCTATGTGCTTTGCTTTCTAATTTTGTTTCTAGAATCTATGCTTTATAAATTACTTTAAGGATTCATACAGTAAAACGCTCATCGTATACACATTTGATAAATTTCGCTTTTAATAATGCTTCTTCTTCTTTTAAGCACATTGTTGCTCAACTCTTCATAATCTAGTCCCATATGAAAGATTCCATTTGTAGCAAGTAATGTAGTTACTCTTTTAAAAAAATAAAAGATTTAAAACAAAAGGCTATTTATAAATGTACTGACAGTTAGCTGCAATAGAACAATTACTGTAACAACAATGCTTTTTCACAATAATGAAAGTAAGCCCTAATCCTGAAAAACCTATTGTAAATGCCCTTCTTATATAGTCAATACTTCAAGATTACTAAAAATAAAGTGAAAGAGCAATAAGCAAAGCGGAAAGAGTTGCTAATATGAAACATAATAAAATAGGAAAAATAAAAGGACAATCAATACAACAAAAAAAGAAGATAAATGTAAACAAAGCTCTTGAATTGGATTCAGGTAGCCCTTAAGCTGTTGCTTTGCTTGGCATAAAGAGCATAAGACACTTACTACAAGGGAAATATTCAAAAAAAGTAATAAATAAAGTAGCAATTTGGTTCGTTAAGTAACTTCTAAACCTAATTAAAAGTGAAAGAAAAAGACAAAAAATAAAGGCCAGGTAATGTAATTGCTTGTTTTAGCTTAACGATCTTGGTGAGTTTAAGCTTTTAAGATAGATTTAAAAAAAGAATAAAGCAAAGCAATAAGTGATTGTAGTATGTCGCGTTAGTGACCATCAAGTTCTGACTATAGAAGGTCAAAGGTCATGAGCCTGAATTGAAAAGTAAGAATAAAGAAAAAAGTGAAAAAGGTATTCTTAATTCGAAAGCATTAGGTTATTTGTATTAAAGAAAAATAAGGAGATGGCTGAAAAACGGTTTTTAAAGGTATTGTTTATAAGACAGTGTCTGTGAAAGATGCAATTAGGAGCGTCATTCTGATTCTTCTTCATAACAGTAACTTCAAGTGTTATTAAACCTGTTGTACCAGTGTAAATTTTAGTTTTGTATATAGGCCGGTTTATAGTTTGGATTGATTTAGTTAATTTAAAGGGTTGTTGATTATATATGTTGTTGAATATGTTGATAATATGTCGTTATGTGACCACCAGATCTTCTTGTAAGATCAGATAAGATTGCAAGATAATAATTTCTTGTGATAAACTTGTAGAGATACAATGAAGTTTTAATTGCTTCAAGGGACTTGTATTTACTTGAGATGATAGTATCAGAGGTTTACTTTGAGCACAGAATAAAGTTTATTGATAAAAAATAAAGTAAAGTAAAATAAAGTAAATAAAAAGGTAAATAAAAAAAGTGAACAAAGGGAATAACCAGAAGTTATTTATACTGTTTCTGATGTGGCGATTTGAGTTGAAGTTTGTTTGGTGTGTTTCCATTTTCGGTAATTCGTGTAACAAAAGATGTTTGAGCTTTTTCCTTACAATGGATTGATTTTTGAAAATTGAGGTAATCAAAATCTATGGATGTGGTGCTTTCATCCTTAAACTTCACTCTTAATCAAAGACAAAGTTACTGTGAATTTCAAATACAGTGTAAAATGGTTAGGTTTGGGTAAAGGCTTGAATATAATTTGAGTTGTATAAGAGTTTCTGTCGCGTGACCACCAGATCTTAATAGATCAAAAGAAATAACTTGCGTTATATAAGAATAAAAGTAAAGATAAAAGTGAATCCTACTGATACAAGGCTTCAAGATAAGCGTATCGGTAGTTGAGAGTGTTAAAAGAAAAGTAAAAGTATAAAAGAATAATAAAAAGTACTTTAAAATACAAAATGTATTAGAAAGTAAAAGTCTTTAAATAAAAGAATATAAAGGTGAGTGAGTTATACTGAGAACAGAACTAACTGATAGCTAACTAATAACTAGATGATCACTAGATGATAACTAGATGATTTTATTTAAAAGTATTGAATGTATTTATACTAAAATAATTTAAAATTCATTTGTTTGAACTTCATACAAGTCGTGAAGTTCGTCTGTCTCATGAAGTTCATCTGTTTCAACTCCGCTATTGTTACAACAGTGTAGAATTTCTTATTATTTAATATATATATATATAAATAATGTTGGTGTATTGTAAGGTTCGTGTGCTTGGTTAAACTGATATTTATAAATTTGGCGTTAAGGGTTCGCTTTGTAGTGACCACCAGATCTTTAATAGATCAAATAAGTAATTGAGTAATAAAAGACAAATAAGGTAAATAAAAGTAG